CCTAACAATTAATGGATCAGATGAAGGATTCGATGGTTATAGGTCAGCTCACTTTGGTATTGTTCTTTATACATCCGATCTTGGATTGTTTACAACAACTAACCTAAAAACCTAAGCATAAAAACCAGAGTTAGAGTTTAATGCCAGTAGCGACAAATAAGTCTTATAAAAGATGAAATACTTTAATTATTATTATTTATTTATTTTAGGATCGGTCTTTGTGGATTCGACAATCCAATGCGGGACTCTAAAACTGAAGAAGTGAAACGACACATTGGAAGTGTAAGTACATTCTATATTCAATTAACTCCTTTTAAGATGAGGTCACTCTAACTTGTAGTGGAGGTTCAGTCGAGATGAGAACAATGCCAAACGTTTTGTGTACAAGAAGCGTACGATAAAATTAATGGCATATTGGTTTTAACGTAAACACCAAAAAACACCTGATTATAACGTTTCTCTGGGCTCTGGTTAGCCTTGTGGTGGAGCTCTGCGTTTCGAAGCTGGTGACTCGAGTTCGAAACCGTGCGTCACACGATATCCCTTTGCCTCTAGGGGATTTCACAGAGCAAGCGAGAGCATTAGCTTTCCTCTGTCATATATATATAAACACATTTTGCATTTATCCAATTCTGACCGAAAATCTCAACCACTGTCATAAGTCATGGCCGATAGTGGAGTAAATGTTTGGTTATCAAACACATTACGTTTGCTTGACACGAGAAAGAAAACCACCTTCGTTTTGTAGATATCAAAATTAAGCTAATCGAAACCGTGATTTTTTTTTTCTTCTCTTGACCGAAGTGCTAATTTCCCTTGTTAATTTAACCTTGAGTTGATGTTTCACGTGCTTGTAAGCACTATTTCGGTTATGCACATTTGTTATTTACATGTAATTATCCGATCACCTCAAGGTAATTCGAAATAATCAATGTCACCTATGTTTTCCTCTTGAAACTCGTACGTACTTGGGTAATTATATCCTTGCCGGTAGGCGGAGCTGTGGTTAGGTACATTGACAGTGTTCGAGGGTTGGACACTGCGCGTTCCTTAAACTTTACACGTAGGCGTTTTGAACTTTTCCAAATGCAAATATGGCTGTGGGCTAGACTTTCTACTTGGAATTATTTATAAATACTAATCTTTAATAAGGAACGTAATTTTTGTGAACAACCTTCAAACGCAAATAGAGTGTAGAAACAAACATGTCTATTGGTGGGGTGGGGGGATATCGGATAAACAGATGTGGTTAGCGGAGGTTTTACATTCAAATAAAATATGATGCTAATAATATTTAGTAGATAAGATGTTTCCTTATTGCAAAGCTACGCAATGGGCTGTTACAGGGATTGAACTCCAGATTTTAGCGTTGTAAAGTCCTTAACCTTACCTACAAAATGTATTCAGCTAGGAATTTGAAATGTAAATGTTAAAAAAAGTTAACATACCATTCCAGTTAATGTATGTAAGCAACCAAATAATGAGAGAAATATTTTATAGTAGGTAACTTCATAATTTTGAAGTCATAATTATATCTTTGCCCCCCTCTCCAACAACGACAACAACATTAAGAGAAGTAAAAATTATAAATATAATGTTTTCTAATTTACTCCACCATCAGGGAGTAAAATTCAAAATGGACGGCAGCGGCAACATCATGATGAAACGTGTCAGTAAATGTAACGTTTACGCCAAGGAGATTGAGAACGGAGAGACGTCGGTATCTTCTGAAGTTATCAAGAACAATGGCCAATTGGAAGCAGATAAAGCTGTAAAGGTAAATTCAAATCCCGCCGAATATAGCAATTATTTTAATATTTCTCTGAAAATGTGATTTTGACCTAAAAACTGTTGGACAAGAAGAAAATTTCCAGCAACAAAGAGGAAACATCAAAATGAATAAACAGGAAAAAAAAAATTGTTGTTTTTTGTCACTTGATAATTGTTTGTGGCATTTTAGAAAACGTTCGTAAACACCCAACTTCCTTCCTCCAGTTCTCTGTCAGACAAGTAACCTAAGAAGCCACCTGGTGTAGGAAAGTAGTAACTTTTATATTACTTATTTAATTAAGTAAGAGCATTAAAAGTTTTAAAGGTTTTTTTTTTTCGTAAAGCTTGCTTAATTGACTTACATCAGTCTCTTTTTTTTATTTATTTCTGTTCAGTTGTTTGACATGAAAAAGTTCCAGAACAACGTAAGCAGGGAAATCCGAAGAGCCTATCCCGACAGAAGGAAATTAGAAAGTCAGTGTATTTCTATTGTGGCACTTGTTAAAGACTGTGTGAATCTACTCGACTGTCCGTGTTGGGTGATGATAATAAACGTCGTAGCCCTGGATATGCTGAAGTCAAAACTACCGCTAAGTAAGTTGTGTCTTTTCTTTCTGAGCTTAGTGTTTAGGGGGCGCTCGACTCGCAATCTGCAGGTTGCTGATTTGAATCCCCCGTCACCTTACATACTCGCTTGTTTAACCGTAGAGGCAATATATTATTGTGAGACGTGATTCAACATGACTCATTACGGTAAGTTGTTTCCCCCCCAACATGACTCATTACGGTAAGTCGTTCCCCCAACACCACTAGTAACGGTAAGTCGTTCCCCCAACACCACTAGTAACGGTAAGTCGTTCTCTTATATTGCTCTTCCAAACAACTTAAACTTGAAAAGAAGAAATGAATGAACTAAATTTGAGAAAAAATGTGTTTCCAACATGTCAGCACTAACCGGTATTTCATTCATAGTAATATATTAATCACCATTTTATAGAAATCAGTATTGAACAAATAATTTGTACCAGCGGCTCATAGAATGTCGCCGAGTTTGTTATTTCTTTGGAAGTACACACGTATAGCTCATAGCTCCATCTCTTGACCAATTTGAGATCTAATTACAGCCGCGGCTATTGAGAATTCCCAATGGTATACTAAGCATTTTAATTATGACAGTTGTTTTTCAATTTTTATGTATGACCAAACACTAAACAGATTCTCAAGGCAAATAAATCGCTCTATTTGATAGTTAGATAAGATTTGAAAACACCGACTGTAAAGCGGTTTAATTTAATACAATATATCTAAACCTACGTCGTCCACCAGTTCATTAAGAGGGTAATATTTATGTTGATTTCGTTTACGTTTTCATATCGTCTATCTTGACAGAAATTTAAACTGACGTTCTCATGCCATTTTTAACAGGCACGATTCTTAGTTTATAAGGCGAATCTGGTGTCTTTATATAGACTGATGACGTAACTAAAAGTTAGCGTTTTTAGTGTTAACGTATTGCTAGTTGTCATTGAATAACGACATTTTTTTAGAAGGCCCATCAGAAATTAATAAATTTTATCCTGAAACAATATATTGGATATTGTATATAAATAGTATCAAATTGTTGTTAAATATAACAAAATGACTCCTGTAATTAATAGCATAGAAACGCTACTAAATATACGAGTGCAAAGTAGGCCTGACTTTGTAGTTGTTAAACCTTTTTTTTTACACTTTTTGAAGTCCCAGGAATTGACTTATCTAATTATTAATTGTATTGGGTATAGAATAATGAATGTTCGTCCCGATTCGTTTTAACACCGGAGAAGATAGACCTTTTTTTCGTCGCCATGAAGAATAGATCCAACCTCTTCCCTCACACATACAGTATTTTAACATCAAACGCTTTGGATTTTCTACAATAAAATATTCATTTTGGTATGGATCATGTTTTGTTTAAATCAGAATAAGAAATATTAGCTTTAAATCTGTAGTTAATTGATTTGTCCGGAGACTTATGGTAGATGACTTTGATCTCCACACAAATGATTTGAAGATAAAGATTACATAGTCCAACCCCGTGTTACCGGATTTGAAAACAACACGATAAGGAGACGCGGCAAGACGAAATCCAGCCACTTTCCTCTGACAACTATATTAGTCTTTCGACTACAATACAAACAGAAAAAAATCGATCCCACCTTTTCCTAGGCTCCACATCCATCAAAGCTGCTACAGCTTTGTCACTTCGACCAACTTAAAACCAGTCCTCTCAGACAACTATATTTACTTTAAACCTAACCACCATCATTTTGTCAAACGAGGAAGCACCAGAATGGCTTGTACTATATTGCTACAAAAGTCTGCGATGTCAAAAGAAAAGAGAGCCCGATGAAACCCAATCAGATGTTTCAGAATACAGACCAAAACGCCGTCCGCCGTCGATTAAATATTCAATGTTAATATCATTCCTTTTATCATTTAATGAAAACATGGCTGGGTATTCAGTTGTGGTTAGTCTTTTTTTTGTCTTTTTTTCAGTTACTAAGAAACAAAGTGCCCCAATTTTAACTAGTGTGTTCGATCGCCCTCGACTCCCTGTTCCCGAGGAGGACCCGTACAGTGTGCCTCATCTAGGAACCTCACGTTCCTCAAGCTTGCTACGTGAAACACGTGATAAGCCTCCGAAGCTACCACCACGTGACTCTTCACAGATTTCAATGCCAATGGTAAGATTATATTTCATTGTGTCAGTTGAGACGTTGATAACAAGTGAAGATTATATTTCATTGTGTCAGTTGAGACGTTGATAACAACAAGTAAGATTATATTTCATTGTGTCAGTTGAGACGTTGATAACAACAAGTAAGATTATATTTCATTGTGTCAGTTGAGACGTTGATAACAACAAGTAAGATTATATTTCATTGTGTCAGTTGAGACGTTGATAACAACAAGTAAGATTATATTTCA